TTCCGATCATTTCTTTCATGATATATATCTTACTCGTGTAATACAATTGTTTACTATGAAGCATCGAATGAGTACGCGAATTTCTCGCAGAGTAGTGATTATCATTGTAAATTAATGAATTAAAATATTATCGTTTAGTTAAGTAGTAACTTAACGAGATTATTTTTCAATATTTTTACAAAATATAAAGTGCACGAGTAATGTTGTCGCTAACGGTTAGGTGTTTATTTACAGCGGAACGTTCGTAGAAATCGAAAGCAGAGATTGTGCGCTATTATTATACATAGGCAATCGTTAAATAGAATGAACCGAGCTCTTCACAAATAACAAAGTAATTTCGTAACTTTGTAAAGTAATAACTTCAATGTAGCAAACCAATAAAATTAAGATGCGCTTAACTCGATTAGCTTGAACGTGGCTTATTGAGAAGCGACAAATGCATAATTAGCATTAATTATCTGTATAGTCGTCTGTTATCATTACTCCCTATCAATCTAGGAAATGCATTTTCCAATATTCGAGTACAAATCCGCTCCAACGTTCATCTATCCTTTTTCCCTTTTTATTATAGCTTTTTGCATATGAGAGCCAGTGATGAGCGCGTAGATTTACTGGCGCACGGGATCGCCATCAAAACGCAAGCATTCGCAGACTGATCTCAGCTGTGTACAGAACGTTAATTTTGACGGTCTCAACTTGGCTGATAAGTCACAGCTGAAGTGTGGGTGCGGATCAACTCCTACGGCTATCAATGGACTTTATGTACGAGCCGATACGTTCGTCAACGTTTAATTCCGCGGTACGTTAGAATCTTAAGCGCTATTATCGGCAACTCCGTACTTAGCTGAAGTTTTGGATATTGCTCTCTTCGGTTTATGTTCCGACGACGCGTAAGCGACCTTTGCGTTCCTTATACCGAGAACGGCATCGCCATCAACGCTTCTTCTCAATTTACCATTACAGAGCAATTTACTAGTCGTTAAATGCTTGCAGTCATTCATTTTTTCTCATTACAACCCTCTATTTATTTATATTGCCATATTTGCGTACTTTTTGCACCTATTCTAAATTCCAATGCGCTTGTCAAGTCTTGTATATGATATTTTACATACGAATAGTTTTCTTTATAAATTATTGAAGAAATATTGAAATTAAATAGATTGCGATTATTTTTATAACGTTAAAATTATTTCATTAAGTGAGCGGGGGCGGGAGCTGTTAATAATAATAATAAATTTCGAAAAAAATGTTGTAATCGTAAGTGTATAGACAAAACAACACATAATATTTCCATAATAAATAAATATAAAAGAAACGAAAATTAAAGTGCATACAGAAGCCATGACTTTCTGTAAAAGTTAAGCAGATTCGAGCAAGAATCAAATATTCTGGTTTTTTATAAAGATTATTTACAGTACTACTTAATAATTTAAAATAAATGAATCTTTAATCATAAAATGTATTTTCTTTTGAGAACAGATCAACGAGTGCACGGGAGTTCCAGCAATGATAATCGAGATTCCCATCATCATCATCACCATCATCATCATAACCATCACCATGGATTCATTGAACGGCCAAGATCATCGTGTGAAATGCCAAGGGTACCTGGGATAAAGTAAGTATATTACCATTCTGTCTCATTATTTACCTGTACAAATAGAAATCCTATTTTCGAACGATGCGGCCGACGTTACGAGCCCTTTGATTACAACTAAATAAATACTCACTTGTTATCGTTTAATCATCATTATGTAATTATTAACTCGACTAATTTAATAAGATGTGTGATACAGTGCATGGCAAAAATTATTTATCATTAATCTTTGAAGTTAATTTTGTTAAGTAAAGATATTATTCAGAAACGAGTTTAAAAATGACATATGATGTTAATTACCTCCATAATGTCGATCTATAATTAAAGCTATGATCATATGTGTAGGCAATTATTAATGCTAATTGATAAGATTGATTGTCTTTTGCAGCGTTTACCCGAGTTCGCAGCCACCGGGACAGCAAATTCCTATAGGTAACAACACGGGCTCTTTGCCGGATTTGAGCAATGTACACTTTCCCTCGCCACTACATACACCTCTCGATCAAGAGGATCACTCAAGTGGCTCGCCATACAGCAATGTACGTCACTCATCTCGCCTAAATTATTCATCTTTTTTTTTTTTTTTTTTTTTTTTTTTTTTTTTATACACACTCTCTATTTATTTTTTACATTTTTTATACTTTTGCGCGCGCTTGTTTGTGTGTGTGTATACGTGCACACACATCATATCTACATATACAATGCGTACACGCGTGCACATATATTATATTCTGAGATTGCATTAACTTGTCAAATTTTATTTTATTTTAATTTTACATAATTCAATATGATCGGTAAATACCATTTTTCCATTACAATTGTATTACTTTATATTTTTCTCTTTATCCTTATTTTTTTAAAGTAAATATATTAAAATAAAATAGATTATTTAATAATATGAAGAAAGGAGTACAAATGAATTATATCACATTTAAATTAATAAGTATACGTATGGTATGTCTTCCTGTCACTAATTTGAAAATCTTTGTGTCACTGAAAATTTTGCATCTTGCACAAACCAGCGCTTATGTGTTACAAAAATCCAGCTCTTCTTCTCATTTATACCATCGATTATCTTATCAAAAGTGAACATTTTTAAACTTTCATCGGAATATATGGTATCATCTTTAAAACTCAAATATTTGTACGTTTTAAAAAAGCTTTCTCAGAACAACTCCTATCCAACTTATTATAACCTAGACTAAATAAATAAATAAGCGACTTATTAATGAATGAAGAAAAAATTCAAATGGCCCACATGCAAGGTATATGCAGTATATGCTGTCATCTATTGCAGAGTCCTCAAACGAGCAGTCCTACCACCCTGTCGCCGACCAGCTTAGTGCAAGCTGGAAGGCTATCCTTAACGCAGGATCACAGCCCACCAAATGCCCAAGTAAATATCCTTGCAAACCGTATAAATACTATTCATAGCTTTTATCAGTTTTCTCCACTACTTGGATATCCTAAAGGAATTCTCCTAAACGTCATATTATTTTTATTTTTATCTACTTTTTTTTCATTATTTCTGCAGTGTTAACATAATATAATTTAATAATCGTTAAGTTTTTTAGTTCGATTACTTATTGCCAACCTTGTACTTTCGATGGTCAGTGTCCGATAGTTTTTAAAAGCATTAAACTTAGTTGCATGCCAGAAAGCAGAAACTTTATGCAAGAGAATACCAGCAAATATTTTTAGAATGGAACGCGTTGATCTGTCTTCAGGATATTTATTTACATCGAATCACAATTGCGCATGTGCATCTCAGTAACAAACAATCTCGAGCACACTTACCCGTCTATTGTAGATGTATCGTATCATTGAATATAATTTCTGTTATTATTACACATATTTTCATTGTTGCTTTACCTTCATACGAATTTTTAATGCTATGCTTGTAAATCACACAATTTTATTTCTTTTATTACACTATGCATTTTAGCTTATATTATTTTGCCTTGGTTGTAGAAGTTATCTATTATTTTGCAGAATCATTTATCGGTGCCTGTTAACCATAGGTTTCTGCATTCGTGTAAGGTTAGTAGATATTGGTTTTTTGTTTTATTTTTTGTTTTTCGTTTTACTGTATACTTTTCAAAAATATAGTTAGATGTCTAATTACAAATGTTTATTATTATTTTCATTGATTCAAATTGTATTAAAAACAATCTATCATAATATGCTTTTGTGCCTTATTTTATACAATAAGATACAATTTCCCTTGAATGAAAATTATTACATTTTATTTTCTGTTCGAAAGAATATTTTATAAAATATGAAATATAAAACTAATTGTATTCAATGTCTAAAATACAAATGCACGATATTAAAAGTAATTTTATATATATTTTTTATTCATAATCAATATTTTGCAAATATATAGTGAGTTGATAGTGTAAAGAGAAAGAAGTAGACATAAAAATTTCTGAGCGCCAATTAGTAAGAAAAACAGAAATTTTTGTAAATTGACAAATCGTATATTGGCACAAATGTTTGTAATTTGAATAAATTTAAAATTAATTTTCTTTCAAACCATTTAATTCTTTCATTAATTGTAGATATAATTTTAAGTCTAGCGCATTAAACTCTTATTAGTTAAGATTATTACTATGCCATGTTTATTTTATATTTGCGTATAATGTTAAATGTTTTGAAACAATATATTGTATAGAAAATAAAGAAAGTATAGAAATGTCACGTATCAACTAGAAACAATAACTTTTAGTTGATTAGCAAAAAGGATATATTATATTAATTAGAAAAATGAATGTCGATTAGTAGTAAGCATTAGTGGAGTTGGTTAGAAAAAAATGCTTCTTTAATTCTTTGAAGCATTCGAATTGAATGAAAAACATCAATAGGTACATGGGCGAGGGATTATAAAATGATAAATTAATTTCTTTTTAAAGCAGGGCTTAACGCTCGAGAACAATTCAAATGCTTCTCAGCAAGACATCCGAATAAATTATTCGCAACAACAGCAAGCTTCTCAGACACATTCTCAAGTACAAGCACAAACACAACCTCAGAATGTCTCAGGGTCATCTTCGGCTGTGCAACAGTCACACGCTGTCCCACATAGTCCGGGACATTATGTGTATCAACAACAACCACATAGCCCTCTTACTCCTCAGAGTCCGGTAAGAAATTTTTTCTTTTCCTTTTTTCTTTAATAGATAGTTAAGCTTACCGATGATAGATAATCGACAGGGTCGATAACATTGCTTTTTTTTTTAATGACTCATATACATCTTGGAGTTATTGATCTATCAACATTTTTATTGGAAAAAATATCTGACAAAAAGTGGACTGATTTTGTACTCAAGCTGAATATTTTACCTTTTTTAGAAAATCATATTACTTTTGAGCGTCACAAACATCTAAATATTCGTTAATTTAATATATTCTTGTATACAAATTTGTTGTTGCTAGTATTCAAATACGAATTATATATTTATTTAATTATATATTTTCCAACTGTCGAATATATACATTTTTTCATTATTATAATTCTAAAATAATTATATATACATGTAATTACAATCATTTATTGTATTACTTATTAATAAGATGTATTGATTGGTAATGACGTTGAAAATCAACTAAAATTAAATTTACAATTTTTTCATTTTATCTTAATTATTATGAGTGCAGAAGTTATTTTTTCGTTGAAACCTTTCGAATAAAAGTAAGTTGAAAGGATAAATTAAGTAAATTAAGTAGATAAATTAAATAAATTTAAAACTTGAATATTGTTACCATTATAATTTCGGTTCATATAAATATACATTGTGAGGCATTTTTCAAATGATTAGCGCAATGATTAGTATTGATTTAGAAAATGATTTTTCTATTCAATAATGATTCGAATGACCTTATAGATTTAAAAGAAACAAAGATTACACTAAAATCATTTTTTATTTGAATAAAAGAATAAGTCTTTCTAAAATAATTACAATTATAATGACAAAAGGTACTTATACACATACATCATGTAAATTGTTAAATTATAAAAAAAATATCTAAATTTTAAATGAAATAAATTATGAAATATAAATAAGATTTATGCACCATGAAGATCGAATTAAATATTAACCGAAATATATCATGGGGTTCAAAATTTTTACGAAAAAATATATTAATAACTTATGAAAATACACTTTTCATATATATATATATATATATATATATATATATATATATATATAACTGTAGAGAAAATGTTTAATTTGTAAAAATTTTATTAACAATTTTAATGCTTGCATAAAAAAAATATATGTTGAATACATTGTTTAATTGAAAGAAGTTTGTATAATTCCTAATTTTTTCCAATAATATAAAAATTTTAGAAACAATATAAAATAAATTATTCTCAGAATGCTTCTCAGCCTCAAGTGCATCAACAAAATGCACAAGGACAATTCAATTCTCTGGGGTCATATAGAACATCACAGATGGTAAACAGGCCTTCACCTCAATCTTCACCTAGTCTTACCTTTCAGGTAAATTTTTTTCTTAATATACGTAATTTATAAAAGAAGCAATGCTATATAATAATTCATCTTTTTGTAGGAAAGTCCTTTAAGTTACAGTAACAACCCATCAGCACCTTCAAGTCCCACAGGACATCATGGTCCACCAAATTTAACACTTGATCCACAAGACCAAAATGTATTTATCAATCAAGTCCACGCGGACTTTGAGCAATTCAGTATGGTAAATTAATAAGAATTTTTTATGATTAATTTTATCTTTTCCACTTCACAACATATCTGTTCAATTTCATGCACCCTCTAAGGCTCCACTCGTAAGTATAATGTAAAATTAAGAAGTGCGGTATTGTCTTGGAGTCGAGTGTATTTAAATTTATTTTCTTTCGAGTTTTTTTCCCTAATAATACATAAGATATAAGAATTATATTCTAAGCTTATTTAAATTGACTACGAAACGCGCTCTAATCTATTTGAGCCACCATTTTTTTTACATAATCTCATCTCCAAGATGAAAATTTCAACCGAAATTTTTGCTAAGTTGTACATATTTAAAAACAGACATCGTAATATTAAAATAAGCACGTTGTTCGGTTGAAAGAATTAAAAAATTGTATAACGTATGCAAGGGTCTTGATGACATTTATTTGTTGCCTGTCAACATTAGGAATGGGCGCAAATGATTCAGCAGCTAGAAGATACCGCTTATACCTTGAGCACGCCACTGGATGAGGTGATAACGAGATACTACCCCTTCGTTTAATGATGTGTGTACGTGTGTGCGTGTATACGCGTGCCTGCACGCGCGTATGCGTGTTTGCATATATAGACATCTATGCGCACATGCAAATGCACATACACACGCGCGCCCACACACACACAGCCACACACACACACACGCGCGCGCGCACGCACACGCACGCACGCATACAGTCTTATTAAATTCATTTGTTTAATTATTAATTTAATAATGCCAATAATACTTTATTTTTCATATTCAATGTAAATTATTTGCTATTTTTCTTTATCACAAAGAATCTTGAAGCTTCTATATTTTTATAATTATTTATAATTTAATTATTATTTTAATATTCATCCTAGACTTATTTAATTATTATATTTTTTTTATTCAAATTTTTCAAATTTTATTTGAGAATTATATTCATAAAGTTATAACCATTATCTAAATAAAAAGATGAGTTTTTCTTCAGCTGACTTTATAAATTACAGTTTACTCAATATAGTTTATAAACGATATTTTCTTTCTTTCAGACCTGGCAATTAGCAATTTAACCATTTTAATTATTTGATTATGTTCTTTAGTTAATTTTGTAGATGTCTGTTCATATTCTATTTTCTATATCAGCTTCAGTTTTATATTCTTTAAAAAACTTTAGCTGTATTTCATTTATTCAGGACTTGTATTTAAGTTGTTTTATTAAACTGATTCATGTCTTTCATGTTATTATGTAGATTGATTCACCATCAACAACAATTGGTCCATACATCAATTCTCCCAGTCATACTGGTACTTATACTCAGGTTGGTAATAATAACTCAAAATAAATATTAAAATTATTATTTAATTTTTTAAACAAAATACAGAATATGTATTATATTTTACAGAGTGATATACTAAGTGTTGCAAGTGAACTTGGCAGTGGAGATGGAGGATATTTTAGTACAAGTCCACTTCAGCAGCTGGCATATCATACAAGAACGCCGACAACAACACAACAATTGACGCCTCAGACACCGAATACACCAACTATAACTCTCACTGGTAATTAAACATTAAATAAGCATAAAGTTGAAATTAAATATAAGTATTTGTTTTAAATTTTGTATACTCCTTAATATATAATATATATTGTTTCCTTTCCGTTTACCATGCTTTTACTAATGCTTTAAAAAACAGAAAATAATTATCTTTATAATATGTATAGATTGCTCATTGGGACCGGATGATCTAGTGAGCTCAGATTTTAGTAAAGATTTTGGATCATCGATATCAGTAACGTTTGGGCAAGATTTGTTTTCTACAGATGACACTCTCTCTCAAGATCTCAACTCCTTGCGTCAAGAAGATATCAATGCTCTTAGACAAGATCTCGACCCCCTAGATTTGGATGAATTGCAGAGGCTTGCCAACTCAGATATGGTAATATCGGATCCGACTACCGAAGCTGATTTTAGGTTAGAGCAACGTTAATGTTAATTTTAAAAATGTCACCCCTGACAAGATATTTACGACTGTCGATTTTGTATTTTTACCGCCGTAAATAGTATAGCTCAAAAGAGTTTAATGTCAATGAAGTATAATAAAATACTTCAATAAAAAATACTTTACATATTACAAAATTGTAAACTTTATTAATAAAATTTTTTTATATTATACTACTTTGTACATTGTATCGCGTATAATAATGGTACATACGATTATTATGACGGTAATCGTAATGATTAATAATCGTGATGATTGTAATGATTATGATAAACGAAGATGATCTCTGAGAAGCACAAAATGAATCATTTCTTGATTCATATACAAATTAAATAAAATATAAGAAGATTAGCTGTAAATCAACAACATACTGAATATCTATTATGCAAACATTTTAATTATACATTTTAAAAATGTATGATGCATTTAATGCACCATGAAAATAGTTTTTTTTCACAAGTTCGATTCGCCGAATAATCTATTACATATCGTGCATTATATGTTAAAGCTTTAGGAATTATTTTTATTATTTTATCTTTTAAATTTCCAAAAATGGTTCATCTAGCACATTGCAAAAAAACAGACTGCAGATAAATAATCGCGAACTTAATGAAAATTAACTGAATAATTATAAATTAATTATAGCATAAAAATGAATATATTGTATTTACACATTTGTAATTGATGGCTCTTAATTTTTAATTGCAAAATGACGTATGTTGACATTGTGAACAGCACATCTTCATATAAAATCTCGATCCTTCTACCAATATTATTGTTTGATGTAATTTAACAAGATAAAGCTTTAGATAAGTTTTTACGATAAAATATAATTGCGAATCTCAATGTCAAAATTAAACTTTAATTACCAATATTGTTAATAATGAAACAAAAGGCCATCCCTAATGGTGATCAATAGCACACATATTAGGCAATATTTAATAGCCTATTTTTCTTAAGAAAATGTCGCGTTCGTGTTCCTTCCCTGCCATTCATTTATTTAATCTGAAGTCTTTGACATTCAATTTTATTACTACTTTATATGCTCATATTAACTCACACATTGTTCATGAAATTCGCTCACTGTAAGAAAAAATAAAATACGTGGAGGATAATAGCTCATATTGCATCCCAACCACTGGCTTTCGTGGTTGTCAATTGTTTTGAAAGTATCTTTATATAAAACTTTGACAACCTTGTATTCGCCAATAGTTATAATTAGATTGAATTTCCTACATAATTGTTACTAAATTATTTATATTGTAAATAAAGATTAAATAATTCGATATATATACATTAAATAACAAATGTATATGTTTTACTCGTCAAAGTTTAAATTTAACGCTCTTAAGAACCGTTGTTAAATATACAAGATTAGGCAATATAATGCAAAATAAAATAAAATAACATAAGGAAATAAATTCTAATTGTTCCAAACTCTTTAATATACAACATTCTTGAGTCTATTTCTGGTATAAGCCAGTCGCAATTTGTTGCAATTTTTCAATATATTTGTATTTTATATGCTGTTTGTTTCATGTTTATATATGATCGCCAGGAATGGCTTGTACATTTAAATTTATATATCATAGAAGCGCTAATGTCTCAAAAAAATGCGCAATGGACCAATTACGAGTACCTATGTTGAAAATATTTAAAATGCGTAACTCGTAAAAAAGGCTATCACAGATACGTTGGTATTAAATTTGTTACGTTAGTTGTAATATATTGTTTTCTTTCTAAAATAATCGTTGAACGACCGATAAATTTGGATGTTCAAGACATGTTATTGGTTGTTAAAAGAAATAAATATATTCATCTACATGTGATAACGGGAAAGTGGTAATATAGAGTATTGTAATCGAATGAGTGTAAGCATGTGCCAAATTGCAAACTCGTCGATTAAGTTTATAATCACCATTCAAATTTTAGCAGTATCATTGATTCTAATATATATTTTAAAATCTTTTAAATCTAAGAATGAAACATAATAAACTATGACTGTTTAATTTTAAAAAATTTGTATGACTGCAATGACGATCAATGATTAAACGATCGGCATCACTTTGTATAGTGTTCGGCGTAATGTCAATTTACAAGAGTAACTTTGACTGAGTCGCAGTGTCCATATATATATATATATATATATATATATATATATATATATATATATATATATGTATATATGTATATATAATTATATTAAAGAAAAAATTACTCAAGTTTATCGTGAATTAGGAACTTTTTTCTATTGTCTAGTACTTAAAAATATTCATAATAAAAATAAATTATTAATCTAGTTATATTAAATATGTTCGCATATATACATGGACGTACAATACGCGAGTCGTTGCTATTATTATTATTATTGCTGTTGTTATTTTTATAGTAATATTTTCATTTTGTGCCTAGTTTTACCTCATAATTGATTTAATCTTAAATGCGCTGTTCATTAATAATAATGTTGATAATAATAAATATCATTTTAGTTTCTTTTTAATATTTTGATATATCATTGAAAGAGTCAAATAATAAGGAGAGGCAGTGAGAATAAAAGAAAATTTGTTTAAACTCTGAATAATTAAATAAATGAAATATAAATCATATATAATCGATTATAATATATATCGTACTCGACTCTAAATGTCATAAACTTATAAAATATTTTTTATCAATTTTTACCAATATAATTACACTATTCATTATTTGATTATGTTTTATATTTTTCTCTGCTTCGCCCTCTCTCCATATTTTTCTCTTTAATGAAATTTATAAAAATAAAACCACGGAATGATTTCTTATTAGATTTATTATAAATTTATTTCTGTACATTATTGACTGGTTTTTGTAGTTTTTCAAAACGAAGCTTTAAAAAAACGTCTAACTAAGCATTATATTCCAGTAATTTATGTATCTACATATAATGAAAATTTTATGTGCATCTTGACATATGAGATAATTAAAATAATTCATAAATGGAATCTAAATCAAAGTTGGATGACAAGAAGGATCGATGAGAAAAATAGTATATTTAAACATTTTAAAACAATTGTAATATTTGTATATAGCCAATGTTATTTGTGGTAAACTACAAGTTACACATATGTACGCGTTCACTCATACGTGTATAGATACACACGCAACAGATACACATACAAATTATAAATAATTAATATCTGTATTTGCTGATATATCGTTGTATTATATTATTGTGAACACCATTTCTCAGACATCGATTTTTTTAAATAAATGGAGAAAATGTGTATATTATAATTCTTTTTGAATCCAAACCATTTGTTTACAAAATGTTTTATTTTAATAATTAATTATTTTTATTGAAGATACATAATAATTAATAAAAAAAACTGTATCGAGGTTTATAACGATTTACTTTGTGTATTATATATATTTACGTGTGTTTTATATGTATTTACTTTGAGAACTTTCAGCTTTATTCACATTAAGAAATATATTTTGTAACGACTATTAAATTCTTCAAAACCTTCAAAAAGTACAATTATTGAGTGTATATACTAAATTAAGAAAGTTTTTAGTATACACTAAATCTTGATTGCTTTTGGATTTTGATTGTGTCCATCAACTCGATTGCCTCCTTTTACTCACTATTCGATAACATTTTCGCTGGTGTCTTTCAATTTTTTAAGTAACTATCTACAATAATTATTAAACATAAGCATTTTTAATAAAAAAATTAATGTTTCATCGTTACTTTTTTCAAAATATATATATGGTTGTAAAAATTATTGTGATAAAATATATATCATACTTTTGATTAGTAGAAAAAGATTAATTTGGAAACAATTATCTTCATTAACTATTATATTTAAACATCAACGTCGTTAAATATGGAACTACGATATTAGAATAATTAATAAAACATAATAACCGATGATTACTAATTAATATTATTCCTTATTAATTATTTTACAGATTTTATACATACATAGTGTTTAAGAATTCTAGAATTTCTATTGACTGGGTTCAATATTTTCAATTTATCCTGTTGATTTTATAAATAACTTATTATATTGTAAGAATACGTTTTTTTCAAGTGAAATTAAATTTAATATAAACCTATAATTTGTTTCGTTATTTTTACATTGCTTAAAGATTAATATGTAAAAATTCGTAGCTAATTCGTCGATTAAAAAAGATAATGAGACGGCATGCTTATATTTTGAATAACAATCTATAATGATAAGTTAAATGTACGTACCTATAATCAAGTCATTTACATAAAATTAATCATAAAAGTTTAACAAATTGGTATTAACGGTCCATTCTTTTCTGTGAATAAACTGATTTTTTATTAATTCATTCTAAATTAACTAAAATGTTTTAATAAAATTTACTTTTATTAATACAATTTACATTAATAATATAATTTAACTATTGCATTAAAATTTTATATATCCAATTATTTAAAAAAGAAGTCTAAGCTTTTATATTTTATTTTTCTACTTGTATTTTGGGTAAAAACTACTTTACAGTCAACTTAACATATGAAACTTTTATACCACAAATACTCATTATAATCGGTATAATAATTAAAAATATTAAAAGAATTTTATTTCACAATATCAGAACATTATTGAAAATATTCTACACGATTAATTAAATATATTACATATAATTGAATCCATCACCATATGAAACATTTCAGGTATTTTTATATTTCTGTAATATAATTTTCCATTTAAATCAAACAATGAATTTTATAATTTTATTTTAATTTAAGCGTAGTTAATTTATTATTATCTATTCACAATATAAAGAATAGTATTATTACCTACATTAAATATTGTTAACGTAATTTATTACTTGATAAAAATTGTTTGTATATGATAAAAGTGTTTGTCCAACCACATATCTTAATATAAAAGCTAATTTTATTACTATTTATTTAATAGTATCCTTAAATATAATAATGTTTTATATTTTTAATTAAGTAAAGATTTTTTAATTTTATTATTATTTTCGTTAGGAAGGGTTAGAATAATTAATTTCAATTTCGTTTAAAAATTTTTTTTTATTTTCAATTCAATTACATAAGTCATTCTAAAATTCTATTTACAATATTATTATACAACTTAGTTGCAAATACAATGTTTCCAAATTTATTTTACTTTTTAAAATATTTAATGTATTTAATTAAAAAATATTTCCTATAAAATTTCATTTATGTATTTAGTTTATATAAATTAGATGGTATAAGAAATGAATATTCAACAAATGATATACAAGCCAGAAAGAAATATATTTAACATATTTCATATATTTAGCATCTAATTACTTATCTATATCATAGTAATTAAATGTTTTCACAATAAACTTTTCAATGTACTATTACTGTTCACATCCATGCATAATTATATTTTGTGATGTGATAAATATACTTCTATGGCAGACATATATTCTTGTATATATGAACCAGAGCATACATTTTAAATTTAAATATTAACCATTTAAAGTATCTTCAGAGATAATGAAGAAACGTCAATGATAAATTATAAGTGTAAATAATAATTAACAGTTTTTTTTTAAAGACGCGCGCGCGCGCGCGCGTGTGTGTGTGTGTGTGTGTGTGTTATAAACGTATAAATGATATGATTAATCATATAATCTACCATGCAACATATAAGTAATGATGTTAAAATATTCGAAGTGTAGGTGCAATGAATACAACAAAAATAAATTATATAAAGCAATGTTTATTGCAATTTATTGTAAGATTAATAAATACATAGAGAATATAGATATACGATATAATACGTATTAAAGTAAAATATCAAACAATATAAAAATCAAGCACAAAATCATTCATATAAGCATTTAATTATTATTAAGAGTCTTACAATTTGATTTATCTTATGGTGTAGACAATTCACGGTAATCGTTAATTGAAAATGACTGCCGATTACTGTCGAAAGCAGACTATAAACCATGTGATTTTCTATTATCAACTATGTGATCTTATATCGGCATTTTCTATATATTGCCACGATAAAAATCAAATGTAAAATAATATCATTTTTGTGAACAAACGGTTGTGGACTCAGTCGCGGCGGTGAGATATAAGATATCAGTTGGCCGCATGTGTATTATTATCTCCTGCTTATTGGCTCCGAATAATGCCTATTGTATGAATATCGAGTGATATAGAGCTTTTCAAAAAACAATATTTAGCATGGCTCGAGTTCTCGACAAGCATCTATTTTCAATATTTCAATATAATTATTACCTGTAAAATGAAAAAAATTACAAATACTTTAATAAAGGATACATATTAACGTGTTACTATATTAAAAATATATACGATGTCGATAATCAATAATTCAATAATGCCTTAAGATCAGAATAACATTTTTTTGATCATAATATAAATTCAATTGAACAAGTGTTGAATAGTAGATGCAGCTTTTCAAAACTATCCCCGTCTACTATACAAGTTAATATATTACACATAAAAGCAATATAAATTTCGTTAAAATGTTAATTACTGAGTTAAAATTATAAAAATTTATTTTTATTATAGTAACGAACTACAATTTCTTATTGAAAATAACTTATTAGTACGTACATATTTTCTAGATTCATTACTGAATTGTTATGGTTGTTAAATGCTAAACTCCATATAGAGCTTTATATGGTAATTATACCTCTATTTGCACGACTCGATACTCATATTATGGGCAATTATAAGGGGTGAGAATTTGCCATAACTGCATCTCCATATGAATCACGATACTTATGCTTAAATTGAGCACTCGAACTTCAGTAATGGCGCAGATTAATTATTAATCTGAATAAGGTTACTTTATATTCTTAAAAGAAAATCTACGTCTGACCCACATATATACCTTATTATGGCAACATAATTTCTAGTCACGTAGTAATAACATAATGGGTAAATGAAATACGTAAAATAAAGATATTAACCATAATATAAACTAAAAGTAAAACAAAAGGCGCGATTGAAGCAAAGCATTGAAAACTTGGAATATGGGCAGTAATTCAAATTTAGAGTATTCTGTCTGCCAGAGTAATGAATCGACAAAAATTAATTTTAAGGCGCTAATCAAATGTAATAACTGTATTTGACTTTTTAAATAAAATATTTATTAGAACCAAGTGATTTTTAATTAAAGAGAACTACTTAAAACATGATACACTTTTAATAATATTTGACGGAGTCAAATATTATTGTACTCAATAATGTAAACAATTTATAAGAAAAAGAAAGTATCGCTTTTTTTATTATCACAGTCCAAATTGATAATTGTTAAAATAATGAATTACAATAGAAGGGGGAAAATGAAGGAAATGAATTAGTTAGTCTCGACGACGGGCATATAGAACTTGTGTCTTGGAGTATCTCGAGTATGCTTGAAAGGTGCCTTGTCAGCTTGCAGAAGAGCAGCTGGGCATGGTCCTTTTTGTCTCGACACAAATTCTTTTTTGTAGAGGCTAGAGGAATGTGCGCTGCTGGACCTACCGTCCCCTAGAGTTATATGCGAAACATTGCCTTGAACGCGCATATGCTCAACCCTCTGGACCTTATCGTTATTGCTGAAGTTACCGTAACTTTTGGCTTCGCTCGAGTGGTAGAATGAGCCCCCAACGTGCAGATTGTCTTTCGGAAGAGACTTAACGACTCGGGACTCGCGTTCGTAACTCGATGAAGCCCAGGGATTACCGCCGTCTTTGACACTACGTTGCAGCGATGACTGATTCTTCTTCTCACTATTACTCTCTATCACTTGATCAAATTCTCTTATGCTAGTTCTTTCTCTTTCGGCGCTAGCTATACGCCGATGGAGTGCTGTATTGCTAATATCTGTTTTTGAAGATATGATATTCCAACGCTTGTGCCCGGTTCTCGTTGGCGAAGCTGTGCGATTTGTTTCATCGATGCTTATTTGCTTTGTGTCGCTGTGCTTTCGATTCACGTAATCGTGTTTCAACTGCTCCTGCTGCTTTTCAAATTCTTGCCTCTGCTTCAAAGAGCTCTCCTCTCGATAAATCGATGTTTTTGACGAGGTTGTCTTGTTTTCGCTGTGCTTCATATTATTCTCTATGCGATTTAAAATACTTGGAGACACTAGCTGTTCACCCTGAGTAATTTGCTGATGGGCCTCGTTTGTTTTCTCGTTCACAGTATAACCGTGTTTTCGAATTTCGGTATGCTCACCGTGAACTGATGTATAACTGGTTTTCGTACACGTAGCACCATCGAAGGCACCAGACATTTGTAGCTTATCTTCTTGCCGAATAACGTCAGATTTATCAACTTTTCGCGGAATGTAATCTTCTTTAGTTCTACCCATGAATTCGACATTTGACTTTAAATTTTCTAAATGTTTCATTGG